CCAATTGGTCTTGTAGTTTGGGCTGTTGTTGTTTCTGCTCATTCAACATTGCCCCGGGTGTTCATTGAAGAACGAGTAAAAGTGAATAGCAGAATTTACTAGCAGATTTTGGAGAGGGACGTGCATTGCCCTGGCTGTTAGCCACATTTTTAAAGTTGTTATCTCTTCACTGAAGACAGAGCTCCTGCACACACACAGTCAGTTTGACACAGAACTGGTGCAAGAGATATTTCTGTGGATTTATTGGCAAGTCTCCATCAAGCCCTGGCATTAATAAAATGGATTTTGTGACATGGCCCATATTAGAGATTGATGTTTCATGTATCGCAGTGTCAGATCATGTAAGTGTGTCAGATCTGAAAGTAGCTCTTATGAAGTTGCGGTTCAATTTGAGCCAAAAAGGTGAAGAATTCATGTACTTCACTTGAGAGGAGATTAAGGGTGAAAGCAAAAAGTGACCACTTTGAATTCTAAAGACATGTAAAATATTGTTAATAAACAGCATGTTCATTTTGATTAACCAAAATCCCAAACTTTTTTTATGATCTGATTAATAATGGGTAAATCTATATGCCACCCCAGGTACAATAGGATCTTATTTTCTGTTAATCTTTTGTAGATAGGTTCCTTTACGATTGGGAAATTTGAGAGGTATATCCAAAGATTTTAACTCTATTTTAAAAATGTAATTTAAAATACTTGCATTATTTACATTATTCAGACATTGTTATCCTTATCTTCATTCCCATATTTACAACGTTTTGGCCATTGTATGTTCCAGCCTTCTTCAGGTGATTGCAATTTTGAATCAAACCCTTTATTTCATCCACCGGGGTAGACTGTTCTAGTTCCACGTGCCATGCCTCTTCAGGATGTCTCAGTTATTTCCCTTTAACTCAACTCTCTAACCAACTTTTGGTTAACCACTGCTGTGGCCTGGTATTGACAACTCTTTGGGTCTAGTCATTGGATCTAACCAACGTCTTTATCCACTGGGCCATGTGAATTTAAAATAATTTGTTGTTTTACTCAACAGTAAAGAGCCAAAAATTTTTGCTTTAATAATGAATTAATCATAATAGAATTAGTCTGTTATAAAGTCCCTATTGACTTTAACTGGCAATATTTTATTGTACTCGCTAAGCCTACTTGATGGAAAGGAGGAGAAAACTCTCCCCACTAACAAATATATTTAAGTTACGAAGAAAACTGACTGTCCAGATGAATAAAAAAGATATAATTTCAGTAGTCAACGAAACTATTATCTTTTTTTGATAATTTGACATTTTCCCCTGTCATGATCTGATGACACAAATATGTATCAATCCTCACTCATGCTGATAACTGATTCATTCATTTTTTACGGTTTATCAACCCTTTGTAAGTTATTTAAAGCCAGAAAATATTTTTATATTCTAAGAATTTTTTGGAGATAATAATGATTTAGTGATACAAGTCTTACTTATTAACCCATAGCTGGGGGAGAAAAGGTGGATTCATACCTTTCCCAAAAGTATTTGCACATAAGTGAATATAAGGAACCCAACTGGAATTGGAACTTGGCTCTCCAAATAGGAATTCCAAGCCATTATACATTACACCACCTGCACAGAATACAACATCTAGTCACCAGTGTTGTATATTAAACAACAATAACATATATCAGCATTTGCTAGGACGCTGTACCAACCCAAACCTCTGTCAGCCTTTTTGACCTCTTATAAACCAATTGGGAGTTTACCTTTTTGTCTCTTGTGAAAACTAGACTCATGTCTACCTTTTTATTGTTTATAAAAAAGACAGTTAATTTGACATTAAATAACCTGGAAAAATTTAATATGCCATAAAACAAACCCATCAAATGTAAAAAAGTCTTGCTTAAATTTTTGAATGTTTCATGGGACAAATGAAGTATGGCTGAGTAAAAATGTCATTACTGCCAACAGGAAAAGTATTATTCCCAACATTGAAACACTAAAAGGCTTAAAGAGTAAATGCCAAATCTTCATAATTTAAAAATGATAAAATCTTCTTATCAATACTTACAAAAGTCTGTGTATTTTCAAAATCTTTTGAGTTGTTGATCTCCAGGTTTTTTGGGTTTTTTTTTTTTATTGCCATTTTTGTTTTTTTCTTTCCAACTTTTCAGAATTTCTGCAGCAGCAAATGTTATAAATTATCAAAGGTATTTGAAAAGCAAATCCTGGAATCTCCTTTGTGGACTCGGGAATTGGAAAAGCCAGTGGAATTTCTTCTACCAGACACAAAAACGTAAGTGCCAAACCAAATTTGGCATACCTGCTCTTTTTTTTTATTCTCATTCTGAAACTTGGCAGGCATTTCTACAAATAAATATTTCTTTTCATATCAATTAACAGCATTTTATATTAATTTCTCATTTTTTCAAGTTTTTAAGTTTTCTTCTAATTAATTTTCTTCAGGCTGATTCGAGACTTTTTCATTTCAAACTTATTTTTTTGTCATTCGTTTCAAACTTTTTTTAAAAGAAATTTTCCATTCATATCCTGGATTTCATATATTTGAGTTAAAGAAGATTTTTTAATTTGTTTTTTTGATATACCTTTATGTGAAAGAACAAATACACCCTCTTTCCCTAAAAATAAAATAATCAAATAAATGTACCCCATTTTTATTAAGCACCAGAGAGTAGACCAATGACCAGAATTTTCTATCTTCCAGCCGAGTGGCACTTAATCCCAAAAGTTTTCATTTATTTATTTATTCTGTTTCTTTGTTTTCCTACTTGTAGACAACAATTTTGAAGTTCTCACATGTAGATTTTACTGGTAATCTGAAAACACCAGATACTTCAGGCCCAGATAAAATTATTTAGGGTCCACTTGACTTGATGTGTGTCATAGCACAACACACTAATATATACGGCCCCACATGTAACATGCTATTTGGTTTATAGTCGATTTACGTCTGTTTTATCTAAAATGTGTTAAACTATCCAAAAATACAGAAATGGGTTGTTTTTTTTAACTTTTTAAACAGAAAAGTAATAATAAAAGATTATAAACAAACAAAAACTTATTAAAGAATTAAGCATTAATAGAAAACAAATATACAAAAAAAAAACTTACCAACAGTTTCTCTAAAAATCAATTTTCTTTTGATCTTTGCCTTTTTTTAAAAACATTCTACAATATTTTTTCAAACTTCATCTAATGAAAACTTTCATTTGTTGATGTAAAATATATTCAAAACAGTTTTTGCTGCAAAGTGAATTCCTTTTTCGGTGTATTGTTCACAAGTAAAAACACATTTTAGAGAATAAGTTTCCAAAATTCTTTCAGCAGACTCTCTTGAAGTGAATTCATTATATTTTACAATAAATTTATCTGTATAGTAAAGTATAGCAAAATAAGCACAAATGAACTCTGCCATTTGGCTAGATGGAACCATAAGACCTCCTCAAGAAAGTCAGTCAAAATACGATTTCTCTGTAGCATCATCACTATCATTGCCTACCATGATCAGGGAACACATTTCCCATTGAAAATGTTTAATTAATTTTTTTGAATTTTCTCTAATAAAGAAAAAGATGGTAATGGAAATTTCTCCAGAAGTAATTTGTAGGCTTGTTGAGACGTATAGCATAGTAAGGCATAATGTATTAGTTCTGTAGACAATGAAAGACAACCGCTTGGTTGGTAATATTGTCTTTTTGTAATTCTTTTAGAATTAAGTATAGTTGTTCTTCCACCATGTTTTGTACATAGTTTGGGAAATTTTCTAACATGCTAAATCTTGTGAGTTTAGCATTATGTCCATGAATAAGCCACTGTGACAATGGTATAGAGGTTCCATCACACTGGAGATGGTCATGAAGATTTTGGTCAATGTGAATACATGTGTTTCAGGGTCAATGACTATTCTATAAATTAGAATATAATCTTCCTTTTTTTTTAATTCAAAACTGTTAGGACAACACTTTGCTTCTTCCAATTAAGTAAAATCCTTTATCATATCAGCTGAAATAAAATCATGTAATTCATCAGTTTAAACCAGTCATTGTTTTGGAGATTTTCTGAATTTCCTTGTATTCAGAAAAAGAGACGGTTTTCTTATTTTTCTGAATGTATTTTAGGTATTGGATGTAAATCCAAATTCAGTTTGTTTCATTTTCCTTTCAAAATAAATTTCATACAGACAACTGAATTTTTCATAGAAAACCAATCAATATGATTAATGAATTTTATCCATTTTTCTACAAGGTTGGATTTTCCAAGAGGAAAAGAAAATGTCAATACTTTTTCACTGTTATCCACTAGAAAAGCCAAATGCAACATGTGTTAACCATTTTTGTTAAACAAAATATCAAAACAAACTTTATAATTTAATCTTTAAATAAATGCAACGGACTATGGGGTAGAAAATTTACCTCATAACATTCATTTACAAAACGGGGCATATACGCAATTGAAAATCATAAAAGTGAGGTAACTCACAGCTGTTTATAATTCATGGATTAGTTTAAAAGAAAGAAAAAAAAGAAGAAAAAAAAGGGAAAAGAAAAAGAAAGTTGTAAATATGCATTTTAGTGTTGAAAACATGTCCAGGGAATTGAAATAACATCTGACAGATGTAATTGTATCTTGTTAATTTACGTTGTAAGAATTCAATTTTTAAAGTTACCTCCCTTTTAGATTAGCAGTTTTCTAAGCAGCCATTCACAATTTTTTCTTTTTTTTTTTTTTGGTTTACATTACATCGGCCTTTTAGAATTCAGCTTGTTATATGACATGTGGGGGCCATATAATATTAATTGACCATGGTAATAATAAATTTGCAGGCCTTAATGTTTGTGGCTGACTATAGGCTGACAGAAGATAATGAAAATAAAATAAAAGCAAACAACAGATAAAACACAAAAAGGAAGTAAGATCTTTTGCAAACAAAATATGACAAGACATTTTTTTTTAATCAAGAAAGAACAAAAATTAATTAAGATGTTAAATTTTTTGCAACCAGACAAAAATCATAATTTTAAAACATTAAAATTTGCTATCCTTTAAAAAACTTCATATTTTTAATTTTCCTTCTCAAAATTATGAAGACAAACACACTCAATATCAATTTAAAGCCAAAGTTTACCAAATAATGTTTTCATATGAACAATGACTATATTTTAACTAATTACAAATCTGTAAATAAAACAATTTTAATCTACTTTAATAAAGCAATGTCCATCCAACCTTTGATGCCTTCATTTTTCTACAATCTGAGTAATTATTTCCTAATTAACTGATTTTAGTCATAACATTTTAAATTTCTGTCACTGACACAGATTCAAAAAATGCATTTCATCTAAAGTTAGAATTAAATGTTCAAAAAAGATTTTTATGAATTCATGATTTCATATTCTAAAATTTTGTCAAATAAAACCATTTAAAAAAAAAATAAATAAATAAACATTAATACTAAATATTTTGACTTAATTTAACCAATATTTCACTGTCATTATATCTGATTAATCCTTTTAACCACTTCAGAAAAAATTTACCTTAAGTCACCAGAAAAACATGATTTTTAATCTCTTCAAAAGAATTACCCCCTTATAAAGTCACGTGACCCCCCCTATATTTTGCATAAAAAACTGATCATAAAAACTATACTCAAGAGTATATACAGTTGTTTCTGGATGACAGTAGAAAGAACACAACTGATTTGATCAAAGCCACCAATCTAGTAGGGATCTATCGTGTCATATTCACTGTTTGAAATCTATTTGTTTCAACTTTGTTGCTTAATTTGTGTTTGTAAAACAAGTTTCAAAATAATTTTCTGCAACTAAGTTCCCTACATGAAAAATTAAAGTCCAAACAATCAATTATCAGCATTTTTTCCTCTTTTGTGCCATCTCGTACCACTTTCTACCACCTCAATATTGATTGATATAAACAAATTTTGGAATATGAGCTAGGTTTTTAAACACTGAAATCCTTCATTTAGTTTAAAAATATGAGACAGGGTAAATTTTTAAGCAGCAAAACTCAGGATTTAATATGCAAATGTCAGACAATAAATTTTTAAACACAAACCTTTGAATTAGTTTTAAAATATGAGGCAAGGTAAACTTTTACATACTAAAACCTTTGTTTTAGTTTTAAACCCCATTAATAACAAAATGTGAGGTGGATTAAATTTTTAAAAACTGAAACCCTCGATATAGTTAAAACGCAAAGCAGTGTAAATCTTTTAAGACTAAAACCCATAATTTAGTATAAAATTGTCAGAGAGACTCTTTTTTTTTTCTTTTTTTTTTTGACATAAAAATTCTTGATTTTATCAAAAAAAATGAGAGGAGGCAGTAAAGATTTTAAGACTAAAAATTATTAATTTAATTTAAAACAAAAACATTAAAATATTTTAATGAATTTTAACAAATTTGTTTAGATCAATGGTTCTCAAACTTTTTTTCTCTTGGTCACATTTTCAGAATAAAAATTTACTCATGCCTAACTGAATTTTATGTGATAAAATGTACATTTAAAAATAAAAAAGAAACAGAGAGAAGATTAAAGAGAGGTAACTGCAGATTCAAAGTCAGAACATTATCATTGATAACTTTCTCCTCCAGTTTGCAGACCCTAGTTACTATATTCTTAATAGTTGCTATAAAGCAAAAATATCACCATAATAAAATCAGTCAATAATTATTTATAACTATTTATACTGGGACTCATGCATACAATTAAAAGTAATCCATAATAATATTTTAGATTTTGAATTTTGAAATCATATTTATTTTTGGTATATGAATTTTTTGAAATTGTTTCTAAATTTTTGATTGTCTTTCTATCATTCCATCTCACCTGCTATCCTCTTCCGCTGCACTGTTTGGGCACCACTGTTGGTCATTCTTTTAATATTAGGTTGGCTAGAAAGTCCTAACTCACTTTGGAAGTGGAAAGAAAACAACAAATCTTAATCTCTGTCTGATGGAATTTCTAAGGGGTAATGTATTTCAAGTTTATTCCACACAGCCATGCCATCAATGATAAGTCAGCAGCTAGACCACGTGGATAACAAACTAAAGAAGGTGTACCCTGCTTTGGTTAATCGAGGTTAGGCTTTGTTTCAGTAAAACAATGCTAGGCCACAAGACTGCCAGGTTGACTAAGGAGAAGTCCAAACAGATGGACGGTGTTGTGATTCTTCCACATCCACCACTCAATCCTGATGATGCTCCAAGTGACTATGGCCTATTCCACTCAATGGCACACAGCCTCTGCAACCAGCAATCCAACACTTTGATGAAGTGAAGGAAACATGTTTACAGTTTTTTGATTCAAAGCCAGTAGACTGGCATCTGGGACAGATTTGGATGTTAGCTGATCACTGGCAAAAGATCATCAAGAATGATGGTTTTATTCTGAAGATTAAACGTTGGTGTTGCTCCATTTTGATTTCTTTCCACTTCTAAGTGAGTCAGGACTTTCTGGCCAACCTAATATTTATTGAAGTGAAGTGGCACAAAACAGTAATACTCTGCTTTTTTAAATTGTTAATAAATTGTATTTGTCTTGTTGTCTTTATTGTTACTTCATTTATCTACTTTTGCCTTTGCCAGTGGCTGGATGGGAGTTCAAGTTATTAGCCAAACGAACCCCTTAGAAAATTCAGAGCACATCAATGAAGCAGAAGAGAATAAAGCAGAAGATTCTTCTATTCTTGACAGCAGGAACTGGATAAATGATCTGCAGGAAAAGCTGCTTGGAGAAAAACCTTTGGTTTTTAATCAAGAGGAAGACGAGGCAGCCGACAATTTAGATAGCGCTGAAGCCAATTCTGTTGCCGACTATGATGAAAATCAGGGTTTTAGCCTGGGTGACTTATCCGATATTCTTGAGGATCCAAATATGGATGATGCTGTCAGCGATATTTCTGAAAGGCTCTCAACCATGTTTGATTCTGATGATGACCCTGACACCACCAGTGAAGCAACTCCTCCAACCCGCCAGAAGAAAAGGTCCAACTGTTCACAAATAGACAGTCTTGCTGATGCACTCTCCGAGGTTAACATCTCAAAAGAAGAAAATCTGAAGATGCTGAAAAATGACTCTGGGAACAAGATGGATTATTACAAGAAGCTGTTTAATTGCCAGAAAAGGAGTTTGTCTTTTTTTATTGACCATGTCCCTTCGAGCGTCTGCATGGAACCTCCTCATGCATCAGAGGATATCGCAAAGAATGTGCAATCTCAGCCTGTTTCGGCGTCAGCTGTGAATTTAGCAACACCAGAAATTGCACCATCTGCTGCCTGTGAATCTCCGAAATTGGAATCAAGTCAGCAGAAAATCCAGAAAAGGCTCCATTCTTGGATAACACAAGAATCTCTGCAATATCTTGGCATAACAAAAGAAGAGGACAGTGATACAGCTGAAGATGCCAATGGAAATCCAGAGTTTGCCAAACTCTGTGATCGGTTAGACCTGAGAGGCTTGGAATTTGATGAACTTTTGGAAGAGCGCCTGCCACAGACAGTAAATACACCCAAGAAGAACCTGCCTTCCTATGAAGATTTACAAAAAGAAACAGCCAAGTTTAGTGTCAAAGTTAAAGAATATTATAAACCTCCACCAAAGAAGAAAGAAGAGAAGGTGAGAGTGATTGCAATAATTTCTTGATTCCAATATGAATGCTGTACAATGAATTGTTTTGATACTTTTATAACTTTCAGGGAAGATGGTAATTGGTGACCAGTCAGTCAGCCATATAAGACCAGTTTTTATTTAGGTTATATTAACACCATAATAAAAAATGAATTGAAACATGGAAGTTGAGTATATAAACAAACTTATGTATAAAGGTAAAAGACAATAGGAAAACTGTATTATTAGCTGATGTGTTTTGTCCAATGTGGACTTTTCAAGGCAAAAACGAAATGAATTTATTAAAAACAAAGTAACTATTAACAACAAAACAAAATGTCCTTAGCAACTTGAAGAATTTAGAAAATGCTATTGTATTCATATTGTCAATTGAAAATTACATCAAGTACTATCACCATTTTCTTTTGATTTCTTGATACAGTTGAGTAAGTTGAGTACCTTTGCTTGGGAGAGTAGTAATTCTGTTAGGAAAGGTGCTATAAGGAAAAAGCCTGGGTGTAGATTAATGTTTGGATAATATTCAATGGCAGCACTCTCGAGGATTTTCCTTCTGAGTGAATTATTTTCTTTTTTTATGTGTAGCATTTTTAAAATCAAAATTGTGGTTGAATTTATTTCTATGTATGACTAATGCATTAGTTGTTTTTTTGTGGGGTCTCTTTTGTGCTCATAGATGCATTTTTTTAAATTTCTGCTTGTTTCTCCAATATATTGGGAGGAGCAATTCAGTTTTCCTATTGTCTTTTACCTTTATACATATTGTTTTTTTCTACAGGTTAACTCTGAGAAATTTTTCACAAACAAACTTATATATGCTTAACTTATATTGGCTGTATCTGTGCTGCAATTTAGCATTCATTTACATTTGTTTAAAGGCAAACCAAAATTTTGTTCGATTAAAGCATCCTTTGGTTAAAGCTCAACAAACATGTATTCAGTTAAAAATCCACAAAAGATTCGTTTGGTTCAATGACTAGTGAATTTTTCTTTTTGTTAAAGTCCCATCGAAAGTTTCTTTTTCTTCTGTTTAGACCTTTTTCCTGGTTTCTCGATGGAGTTTAAGCAAATTGTCCAATGTTAGAGCACTGAATTCTTTCTGACTTTCAGGGAATCATTTACCTTTTATCAATCTTTTCATTTTTTTTTTATAAAAATCTTAAATCATAGTGAAGAGTCAGTTATTCAGTCAGTAAATTGCCATACATGATACATGCTTGGGTAATCATGTCTCTTTTGATTCATGACCGACTTAGCAGATGGTTTTCTAGCAATAGGCTGCTATTTCATTCCGTGGTAGACTGGCTGCCAACCAAGGCTATAGGATGCAGTCTGTCCTACTATTCAACCCATATATCTGGGGAGAAGAGATAGATTCATGCCTTTCCTAAGAGTATTTGCATGTAAGTGAATATAACAAACCTGATTGGATTTCAAACTCAGCTTTCCAATTTCTCATTTTGAGTTCTTATCCATTACACCACCCACACATCCTATTGATGCATAGAATAATTAAAGACAAGTAGATATTATAAGATCTTTCAAAATTTGATCAGCCTGTTTCACAAGGATCTTAGCTGAGTTACATTATACTCGTGGCATTGTTTGAGATTAATATAAAAAAGGAGTTTTACGCCTTGTGTAAAAAAAAGAAGAAAAAATTTATTGTTTTTATAGTTTATTTCAAGATTTAATTTACAAATAGCCAGAGGCTGATGTTGTAATGAAAATTAACTAAAATTATAATGAAGGAAATGCTCATCAAAAAATTAATAATGGCTGACTTGACTTTCATCTTGTTAAAAAAACAATTAAAAATAATATGGCTCTTTGTTCCAGAGTTGAGTGAATGATTTTTAATATTTTCACTGCTGCAGACACACTTATACATCTTTATGAAACATACATTATCTGCTGTTAACATATATATATATATATATATACATAATGTGTGCGTGTGTTTTCAAGATATTGTATAATTTCAGTTCTTAGCATGTCTTTTATAAACTAGCTAGTGCTTAGTGCTATTTTCAAACCATAAATGATATATAGTAGCATATAATACAACCTATTTTGTGATGCGTTTTTATGATATTGTTGTTTAACTTAGTCTACAGAGTATCCAATTGGAACTAAAATGGCAGCGTCCATGAGAAATCATCATCAGTCTTTTATAGTCATTTATTTTGAGTAAATGGCAATTTTTCCTAAAATGGGCCAGTACAGCCAGGAAACAATTCTATAACAATGAATAAAAGTCATGGTTTAACATTATACAAATAGTAAAATAAGTTGGATTGTTTATTTGGATCATTTGCAGAACATTAATTACCTACAAGCAGGTTATTTTTCAGAATCATCCTCTATATTTCATATACATCGCCAAAAGCAACCTTGTGGAAGTTGGCACAGAATGTTGTTTTTTACAGTCAAAATGAATGAACACTTGGCAAATGTTGTTTTGGAAGTTGCTTTTTTTTTATATAAATAAAACTTGTATCCTTCTTGTGAGACAGAGTTTGTAGCTCACAATGCGTTGCAACAGAGAGAAAGAGAGACCCTTTTTTTGTAGCAGGCATTTTTCCTGATTAAAAATCTTTAGTGGTTAGAGTGGAGTGGACCAGCCTGTCTTGTTTTTTCTGGTGAAAGGGTAGAGAGGAATGGTGTCTAGTCCCTATTTTTCCTAGGTTTATTTTGAAATCAGTAAGTAGTTGTGAAATGCAGTACGTGCATGTGGAATTGTCCTTCATTTTGGTATAGGGTCTTTGACCTTTTGTCTTGCTTATCCACAAAGTAAGCAGATTGACTTGTCCTTAAGAATTCTGGTTCTAAGGAGATGATAAGTAGATGATACTAATCAGGAGATTTAAAAAATATTTTTATTTTATTAAATTTTGCCAACTACTACAAATTTATCATATAATAATGTATGAGATTTCTACCTGTATTTAAATCGATAAAATGCCTAGATTCCTAAATTGAGTTTTTAAGGCAGACAGTATTTCAAAATCACTTTATGAAATCTCTGATCATGCAAATTGAGAAGTGAATGGTGTAAGAATTTCATCTGTGTTTTTACATGAAAAATGAATACCAAGGAAATCATCATTTCTTTAAAAAGATTCTTTTAAAAGCATATGTTAATAAATCATGGTTGTCAGATGAAACACTATTTATCAACTTATTCTCTAGTTTTTAACGTCCCAAACAATATGATGCTGGATCAATGCCTGCAGCCTGACACATAGTTATTAGTGGAATTTGGATCTGAAATTTTCACTGTGTAAAATATTATTTATATGTAATTAATATTCAACACAGAATTAAGTGCATTGACAATGAAAGAGATTATGTTGAAAAGAAATTTTTGTTGGGTAAAAAACTGTTTTTCTATACATTTTTCTATATATATATATATATATATATATATATATATATATATAAAAAGAAAGAACAGTAAGATATATAATCCGGTGTTCTTATAGAAATTTTTATTTTTACAAAATAGTGCTCAATGTAAATTTCAGAGCATTAATATAATGAATACACAAACACCCCTTGTCTGGTTGAAATGAATTCCTCTGTATCCTTGGAAACGTGAATTATGATTTTTGCTGTCTTTAAAACCCAGTAATTTTATAAGTTACTCCAAAATTCACTTGAGGATGAAATGAACTAATGTCTTTAATTTAATTACAAAATTAAATTCGGACCTTCCATTTTTGAAACATGGTTAGAACTGTGTAGCGGAAAAACCATATTTTAAATCAATTTATTTATAATACATATATATATAATCATTTTTTTGCTTTTCCTTTTCCAAACATTTTTCAACTGTCCTACATGTCTAGATTTTTTTCTGGTCCTCTTTTTCAAGACATTTTTTGGCACCACCTTTTCCAGACATTTTTCATTCTCCCTTTTTCCAGAGATTTTGACTCTTTTTTTCCCAAACATTTTACAACAGTCTTATAGTTCCAAATTTTTTCTGATCCTCCTTTTCCATACACTTTCTGGCAATTACTTTTCCAGACAGTTTTTGGCACCACCTTTTCCATACATTGTCTGTTCCTTCCTTTTTCAAACATTTCTGGCCTTTCCTCTTCAAGATATTTTTTGACTTTTCTTTTTTCCAGACATTTTCAACTTCTTTTCCAGACATTTTTTAGCCAAACATTTTTCAACTGTGCTTTGTCTCCAGATTTTATTCTGTTCTTTTCTTTTTGCAGACTTCTGATGTTGAAAAACCTGTCTATGTACTTCCACCTGTTGATTCCTTTTCTCAAATTACTTTAAGAAGATCCATTGTTCTGCAACAACTTGGAAAAAGGTAAGAGCCTCTTCTACTCTTCATAATTTCTAACACTAGAATTTTTTGCAACATATGTCAGCGTGTTGAAATCCTCACAGTATTTAGTATTCTTAAAATTATCGCTAACATTTTTGTCAAGATCTACAAACTTTACATTTCATTCAATTTTGTAAACCAATCAATGAAATTTGAATTTGTTTGGAAAAGACTTTGATAAAATGCCTACCTCGTAGTTTAATAATTTATTTAATTTAATACAACTTCTTAGTAAACGATATTTTTTTTTACATCTGCTACCACATACCCTAAATAATTTTATGAAAACTCTAAAAATTCAACACTAAGCATTTTATTGATTATATTAATTAAAAGCAGAAGTCTTTGAAAAATTTAAGTGTATAATAATTCTAATTTGTTTATGTGGGATTCAGATGATAATGTATTCATAAATATGTGTGTATGTCTAGTACACGGTATTTACTCTGTCCCCTTGACGAGGACGAGATGTGACACAAGGTCTATTTTTAGGTGGGGACCCGAGCTCATACGCCCGGGACAGGAACAAAAATTCCCCTCAGCCCCGGCAACCGTCGGTTGCGCTGGCCTCGGTGCGAGCACCGATCCCTCCCTCTTGTACAATGGGAGGGTGTGGCCTTGAGCAGCTATTCCCCAGGGCTGGGCACCTCTTCAGTATAATTTTCTCAGTTGCCCCTCTGTCCTTTGACAGAGAAGACCCTGAGCGCACTCTGTCCAAGGAGAGAGATGCAACTGAGAGATGATAAGTAAACGTGTACCTACTCAAAATTAGTACGCACTTGTTTTAGATAAACATACTTTACTAACATAGGTAAAGATATGTACATATCTAATGGTTAGATTCTTTAAGAATAGATTCAATAAAGGTTGGATGTCATTTAATGTTTTTGACTTGGGTTTATGGTTGGTCTGTAGTTGACTATAAACACACATCAAAAACGTCCTCACTTTTAGAAAACGGCAACTGAGTTTGTTAGTGTTAAAATAGGTTTAACTCCAAGCTATACTAATTATCGCCTTGGTTGAATTATATTAACGCCTCCATGTGAAATTAATCAAGGGAGATAACTAGATATAGACAAAAGCAAAGAATAAACTGGCGATCATTTTTTAACTTTTAGAATTTTTTTTTATGTATACCTTCCCACCATTTTCTCCTGTAAATTTAATTTGTTACAGTATTAAATTTTTCTTTCTTTTAAATTTACCTGAATATAAATTATTATCAAATGCTTCTCTTCATTCAAGAGCTGTGTACCTCCTTTTTAGTGAGTCGCAAGTTCTCTCCCTTGGATTGAATTTAAACTCCAGTTACTTTTAATATTACATGGATTTTATTTATATCTTTCACATAAATGATACATTTTTAATCCATGAAGATATTTTTATATTCTCCACGCTAAAAGCTGGTTAAAGCTGTTTGATTATATAAAATCCATATAGTTTCGTACACATTTACATGTTTTTTTAATGTTAGACGCTCACTTGTAACTTTCATTAGTCAACGAATGCTTGTTATCACTTCCAAAATGCTTGTTGTAGATGAGACTTTGTAAATGCAGATTCTGGTAGTAATAACGCCTTCAAATAATACTCGCACTGATGATACTTGTTCAAATAGTAATTGCCAAATAGTAATTCGTATAATGATCAGTATAGAGGAATAGTTGCTAGTATAGTGAATAGCGATCACTTAGATATCAAGCTAATTCCCATTTTTAAGTTTCCTTTACAATCACGTGATCTACTTATTTAATAATGGAGTCGTCCATGTTTGCTCACTGGTGATCTGTATTCAAACTACGGTGTCAGCAATGACACTTTATTCCTATGTAACAACATGCTAAACGGAAACTTCAAGTTTTAATTGAATCTTTTACTCCCACTACCATGTATACAAAAAATCCTTTGCAGTGTTAGATTTGCTAAGCATTCTTTCCTCATTGGGTCCCTAAAATTACAGTTGTTTCTTTCTAATTGTTAGCAGCATTTTCCTTTTAGTTTCAATACAGATACGTAAATGACTGCCGAATTAGCATAGCTAAGGCATCAAGACTATATAAGTGCCTAAGCAGTAAGTGCGTGTGTGTGGGGGGGGACAGAATACAATTTGCGAGATTAAGGACTAATGCTGAATTGAGAGAATGCAGAGGGAATCACATTTCAAAACAATTATTACTACTTTATCTACCATTAATTGTAATTAGATTGAATTGCTTATTGAAAGTGGATCTGATAAGTAGCATTATATTATTTACATTATTTGTTGCTATTCTTAAGTTTTCTTTGAATTCATTCTTTGCTATTGGAATTATATATAAATCCAAAAAAGTATCAGCAATATTATTGGTCCTGATCTGGCAGCACAGCTTCAATTACTTTGCTATCATTGTAAGGTTGCCTCTGTGTGTCTTTTCTATAAATACTTTCATGGTAATTGTTCAGATGAGCGCTTCATTATGCTACCTAGGCTTTTTGAATTTAAGTGCAATGCTCGACTGGCGTCAAGATCTCATCAGTTTACAGTTGAGCTGTCTAGATGTAGCTGTAAATTCTATGCTAGCAGTTTTCTTTTTCTCACACTTGGGGAACTCTCTTTTTAAAAAAATTTAAATGCAATGTCAATCGCTATCCACTGTCCTCCTGATTACTCTTTCCTCTTCCTGCTCATTATTAATGTTTCTGTTTCTAATTAGCCCCCCCCCCCGCCCAATAACCCTTTGTGTCTTAGTGGCTTTACTGCTTTGCTTGAGGTGATACCAAAAAAAAATAATACAATTGACATGGCATTTAAATTTTTGAAGATCAAAGTTGATTGGGAAGCTGGAAGAGAGTTCATTGATCACCAAAATTAAGCAACATTGAACATGGTTACTACCTAGATGGGTGACTGCTTGGGAATACCAGGTGCTGTAAACTTGGATGTGTGGTTGGTGTGATGGATAATGCCTCAGAACTGGAAATCAGAGAGCTGAGTTCCAATTCCAGTTGGGTTTGTTATATTCACTTATGTGCAAATAACCTTGGGAAAAGGCATGAATCCATCTCTTTTTCTAACAGCATTCGGTTAAATTAGTAGGACTTGTATCAATAAATCATTATTATTATCTCCAAAAAGTTCTTAGAATCTAAAAATATTTTCTGGCTTTAAATAACCCACAAAAGCCGTCAAGAAAACAAAGCAATCAAAACTAAGTTTGGTTATTTCTCTTTTCCATCTGAACACTTTTTAATTCAATTTTTGTCTTTTCACTACAGATTGTTGATTTTGACATTTCAAACTAAGTTTCTTAACACGCGTTTTAATTTCTTATTTAGAAATTATTTTCTTCTTATTTTCATTCAGAACAGTAACTGGTTTTCCTACTCATTTTTATCAAATGGGCTTTTTGAAAAAATATTATTATTATGAAAAATATTTCAAATGAAAAACATGAAAATTTTCAAGTTCAGTTCAAAGCTTATGACACAAAATGAGTCCAATATGGAGATTTTGTTGACTTTGAGGATGTTCCCAGTCACTTGGACAAATAAGTTGTCTACTTGCAGTGTTTGCTGTTCAAATTTCAGCTTGTTATGCAAAATCAGTTTCTATGTTCAACAAACCTTTTATCTATGGCTAGCCGAATGTATATATAATTTTGTATGTATACTTTTGCAAAAAACAATCATGAAAACCACCATCCATTATATTTTTCAAATAAAAATATTGCTTGTCAATTTAATATATTTTTGTTAACTTTCTTCATTTCAGAATAGACAGCTTGTTAAGTCCCATGGATATTCTAATTGGAGAAATATCCACTGAAATAAATGAACTCGTTTCTACCTTCAAGTAAGAATTTTGTTTTTCTTTATTTTTTTTTACTATCTTTTTTAAAAGTTTAATAGGAGTAGATAGGTTTGCCTATTATCCAGTTTACTCTTCTCCCCAATTTTTCAAATAGAGATTTATCCCTTGTTTCCTGTTTAGGATTCAGTTTCTGGTTCCTTCCTAAAATCTTCTCATTCTCTTTCATTTTCAATAGCCCTTTGTGTCTTAGTGGTATTGTCACCTTACTTGAGGGAATTGATGAAAAAAAAGGTTATATATATATATATATATACACAAATAATGTCTATCATTATTTACAGTCTTCTTGATTCCTCCTCCTCTTCTTGTGTTCTCACTCCTTAAAATAATGTTTCTCTTTTTTTCTTATTCTTTCACACTCATTAACCCCTTGTGTGTTAGTGATTTTACTGCCTTGCTTGTGGTAAAATGAGTAAAAAAAAAACAAAAGAAAAGAAAAAAGTGTCTGTCTATATTTCTGAGATGGGGTATGATGTACACTATTTACATTGTTCAGACTATTGTCCTCATCTTTGTTGCCATATTTATCAGAATGTTTCGGCCGTTGAACGCTCCGGCTTTTTTCAGGTTGTTGGAATGTCGAACTGATTCAGATGGTTAAGAAAGTTCTACCAGAAATTAGCAAGAATCATTTTAACCTTACCCCAGGCATGTTATTTTGGAGTTATGAAAACCGGGGAATGGCTTTTTTGGGCCTGCCTATTTTAAGATGCCATAGAGGTGCAAATAATGGCTTAACTGGGTCTTATTGTTTTACTATTGAACTAGCTAGCTGCGTCTGACACTTCTATTCTAACGGTTTCTTTTTCTCGCACTTCTCCCCTGTGGAACTCTTTTCTGATTTCTTGCTTCCCTGTCACCTGATTTAAATGCAAAATCAATCGCCATCTTCTTGCTGAACCCTGTTCCATTATTGTCCTCTCTTCACTAAGGTCTTCTCTTTCTCTTCCTATAATTATTGCTTTGCTTGGGGTGAATTGATTAAAATAAAAAATTGTTTGAAATTTTGCAGGATTTTTCTTTTGCCTTTTATCTTTTTATTTTAAACTTTCATTGAATCTGGAATGAGTGACGTCATCAAACGTGTGAGAGTTTCAAAAATAAATAAACCGAATGCTTCAATGTATTCATTTAGAATGCAAAGATTTCATCCTGAATTTAATTTGAAATATTTGTGCACTAAATTTATAAAGTACCTGTATTGGGAGGCTAAAGTAAGAATCTAGGTAATTTTCCAAAATTACAAAAAATCCCACACGTCAGCCTATATTTGCTGACATCAAGAATTATGAAAATAAATTCACTATGTTCGCAATTACTTTTAAAATATTTTGACAATATTTTCATGACAATCTATTTTTAGTCACATATTTGCAGTTTGAAATTATTATCTCAATCAGGTAAGGATCAGTGTTAATTAAAAGATTTGCTTGAGCATTTCCCCACTCCCCACCTCCCATATCACTATATTTACAGTTATCTTTAAAATCACTCACCAAAATATTTTCATGGCAATCTACCATATTTGCTGGCCTGTTGGACTTGGATTTTTTCAAAAAAGTGCACCAAAAGCTTATGAAAGGGACATGATGACCACAAAAAAATTGGGTTTCACCCAGAATCAGTGCATGCATAGAGCTTAGCTCTGAAACTAGGATTCCTCAAAGTGAACAAACATGATAATAAAAAATATCTCTGAAAAATTCAGGAAAAAGAAATTAAGAATTTTCTGGAATTGTACAATATTTTGCCGCTTGTTTTGTAGAAATCCTAGATTTTACAGAAATATTTGCTTTGACTGTGATATTTCTGCTTGCTTTGTGTGTTTTTTTGTTGATATACAGATATTGGAATTTGCTTTTCTGCATGTATGCTATGGGACTTTATTTACCAACAAGTACCATATTTCTGGGGGTTTTTTGCCTATTACCATATGTACCAATGTTGATGGATACCAATAGATTTCTTTGCAGCTATTATAAATTTATTGTATTTGAAGTTGTTGCTCCCTGAAAAACAACTAAAACAATTTTCAATAAATGCGTCATGAAATATTCTAAAATTATTTTCCCTAAAAAAGTTCAGGTAATTAAACCTTAACTCATTTCTTTTAAAAAAAAAAAGTTGCATAATTTGTGTTAATATTGTGTTTCCTTATGGTTAGTGAGAAGGTCCCATAAAGGTAAGGTTATAATTTTGAGATTTTTGGTTGTAATGCATACATTTGTTTTCCTTAAATATTCCATGCCAAAATCTGGGTGCATCCATTGTGTGTGTGCGTCCAACAGGCCAGCAAATACAGTAACATATTTGGAGTTTGAAATCAATATCTCAACCAGCTATTGATCAGTATCAAATAATGAAAAGTTGTTCTTGAGCCTCCCGCCATCTCTAAAGTTTAAATCGGGTTAATTTCCTCAACAGATGCAGAAATCTGAAGTTAATCCAAACCTGGTCTGATTGTTGAAACAATGGCCTATTCCATAAGAGCACAAACATTTGCAGAAAAGACACAAGACAATTATAACAAAAATGAGGACATTAAATCAAAAGAGATCTGTATATCATCATTGTTAACCATTCTGACTCTTGTGGTCCTACCTAGGGTTGAACTTACCATCTTTGGCTAAAAAAAATTCTTCAGATATTAGACTCTCACTCCTCAGCTTAAGGGATGCACTCTAAGCAGTAGCAGGCTTGTCTCCCTTCCTGCCAAAGTGGATTTAATCTTTAGGCATTATTTAAGTTTATTGAAATTTCTTGTCAGGGAGAAAATATTCTGATTGAGGAAATACTGTTACTCAGTTTATTAATGAAGGTCCTGTTTTAACAATAATGATAATTTGCTCATCTGAAAAATTTCAAATTCTTGGCATTGTTAAGAATAAGAAATCAATCTGTGGACAATTGCAAATTCGTAACTTATTTTTTCTTCTTTTTTAACTTGCCCAACAATGTCTACAGAGTCTATTTAACCCATAGCGGCTGGAAGAAGTGGTGGATTCATACCTTATCCAAGAATATTTGTGAAAAAGTGAATGTAACAAATTCTGTTGGGAAGAATAAAAAATCGGCTAGAAATTTGTCTGAGAATGTCACAGACTGTTATGTGGAATTCTTGATGCTGTTTCTGAATGTGATTGTCTGTTTGGAATGAAAATTGGTTTCAAGCAATTTGTTTTTCTTTCAGTTTGCAAAATGAAACAATTGTCTTTAAACCTGCAGAATGGAGTGCAATTGGTATCTTCTTGATTCTCATGTAAGTATGAATTTTACAACCTGTTAGAGATGCACACACTTGATTGTGCATGTGCATAAAAGGCATTTTCTTATTTTTAAACTCGAGTAAATCTATTAATCAAACAAAAAATAAATAAAGGGTGGATGAGCTTCATGGCCAACATGTACATAGAGGGAAGCAGGTTCGAATCCTGCTAGAGAGTGTAAATCTTTCTTTAATAAGATTCCTCAAACATTCAGGTCGGTAGACAAAAATAAATATACTGTTGAGTAAAATAATGGAGTGTCTACTCAAATATGAGTATCCACTAAAAATAATATTTCAAGTGATATATATATATATCACATACATACATACATACACACACACACACATATATATATATATATATATATATATATATATATATATATGGTGGGTTTAGGCAGCAATCCTTCATTTATACATGTTTCATTAAAGACAACAGACAAGGTACTGCAATTAAGCTTTTTTTTAATTTTTCTTGTGCTCAAACAAATGTTTTCTTTTCTGGATACAGTGTGTGTAGAAACTGTCCAAATGTTCTATAATTCTGAACACTTTGCTTATTATGAGCTGTGGTCAGCTGGATGTCATGTAAGGTGTCTGGATAGGCATGTAGTCGTGTGACAGATGTGATTATTTACAAATTTGGTTTGATCAGGGAAACAGTTCCTTTTGGGGGGTTTGAACTCATAAATTAATGTTCATTTGTTGTAATTCTCATTTTGCTGGTGTGTTGTTATTTTTGAGGATAAGGTTAGCTGTTTAAAATTTTTTGCATTAGATAATTTAATTTTTTTGTTTGGATCAATTGGGGTGGTGGATTTCTTTATGATATTTCTAAGTGAGGATTCATCTTGTTTGAAGTTGACCAGCTTCATTAGAACCCATTTAAACGCACACACAAACTTACCAGAGTCTATCTAAAACATACTAGAAGAAAATACAAACATAATATCCTCATCTACGTGGAAAAAAAGATTAAAAATAATGGGAACCTTAATAATAAAAAAGAAAAAGCCAACACTCAATAATATTAACTACGAACATAGCCACAATGTGCTGACTGTGTTCGGAAAATATAACATCCCTAGAACTCTAAAAACATACACACAACCCATACACCTAGTTAAAAAGTAAAAATAAAATCATCCTTGATAATGGCTAAAAAATAGCTGAAAGCACTCAGAATTACAAGACATTTGGACAGTTTCTACACATTCTGTGTCTAAAAAAGAAAACACTTGTTGAAACACAAGAAAAATTAAAAAGCATAATTGCAGTACCTTGTCTGTCATCTTTAATGAAATATATATATATGAAGAAAAGTATATACGGAAAAAACAAACAAAAATTCTTATATGCAATTATGCTGTTTTAATGTTAATATGTCAACGTCGGACGTTTCGGTCTAATAAACCATCTTCAGGACATATTCATAAAATATAATTAACATTCAGTTATCTGTTTGGATAAGTCTTGTTCTTATGTCCATCGTCTTTGTCATGTTGAATTGATAATGTTAATTATATTTTATGAATATATCCTGAAGATGGTTTATTAGACCGAAACGTCCGACGTTGACATATTAACATTAAAACAGCATAATTGCATATAAGGATTTTTGTTTGTTTTTTCCCCGTATATATTTTTCTTCATACTGTCGGATCTATATCCATATATTTGCTTACATATATATATATATATATATATATATATATATATATGTGGACTCTCATTGCAGACAACAAATGAGGGCTCAATAAAATAAAGAGGTGGTCAACTTTTATGGACATGCATGTGTCTCCTGTAGTCTGCGGATATTTTAGGCATATGGAGCAGGTGTTTGAGCCATTTTGCTTAAGTAGTTGAGGATCAACTGCCACATGTTTTCACAAGTGGACAGCAAGTCCTGCTTTACTGCATGCAACAAAGCTACAGTGACAGGTAATGTTATCATTGAGAGAAGTAACATGCTGCCAACTTTCTTTCATATTTGCATGCATAATATGCAGATGTTATTGTACTTCTGCATCTTCACATACCTTTAAAAACATTTTAGGTAAAAGAATCTCATGTTTGTTAGATGAAACTAAAAGATGTTTTTCTAATGTTTTGTGTAGTTCTTTTCATTTGTCACTTCCCACCTCTCGTATTTCACTTGTACACCTTTGTTTCATCACCATAAATAAATATCTCAGCCATGTGTTATAGGCAGTCGTTATTTTGCTAAGCCGTCTGTATTTTTTTTTTTTTTTTTGTCAGGTTGTCCAAAAAACTGGAGAAAGTGGACGTTGCCCTGCAGGCCACAAATGTTCAAGACAAATTCGCTGATATTCTGAATCTCAATTTTCATGAAGCTAGACAAATTTTAGAAAATAAAATTTTGCTCATATAATTGCATGGATAATTCAGCTACCCTCTCCCACAACAACCCTGTTTTTTTTTGGTTTTTTTTGCAGCATCAGTGCTAAATGTTCTTTTTTCATAAGCATTTACCCATGATCACCTTCCCGCTAAAAACCCACATCATGCATCTTGCATGTATATATTTTCCAGATTATACTAATCTATCTAGTTAAACGAGATGAATTGCAAGTTGCATTATGATACCCTATGGCCAACAATTCCCTTGTCTAAATCCCAGGGGTTCATATTATGAGCCCCACCCTCTCATACTTGTTGAAACTGGTTCTTAATCATTTTAGTACAAATGCTATTAGTCCAAGTTTACACCCGTCAGTAATTCCATGTTTAATTTCTTCTGCAGCCAATATATTAAGTGCTTGTAAAATCTATGTTCCCAAATGCAGAGGATGAAGAAAAAAAGGTGTAAATCTGCACAGAATTCTGATTTAGGTGAAGTGTAAATTGGATATTAACTGAGTAAAAAGTTGAAATTATGGCTGAGCTGGGTGTGAAGACTTTGGGCGTTGGTTCCTTTTGTAAATGCATTTGCCTTTGCTTCTACAAATTATGTCAATTATTCTGACTATTTTCAACTAAAAAAAATATCATCTGTTATGTAATATCAAAAAAATATCATCTGTTATGTAATATCAATAAAAAAAAAATGAAAATTATGACTGAAATTTCTTGTATTTAAAAAAAAATTTACAATGTTTGCCAATTTCCTCAGCACTGCCTTGACAAAGTAGACTTTTTTTATATATATAATAATCTTCACCCAGTACAAAGCCCAAGAGCCACTCTGGGTTGAGTGTTACAGAGTAAAAAACAGGGTTTATGAGGATATGTAGGGAAGTATCCTCTTGGGAGTCAGTTCTTCAACTTCTTCCTAGTTCATGAGAAGAAGTTGCTCAAGTGGAACTTACATCTCACCAAAGAATACGAAGGGAATGACGGTAGTTTGCTACAATGTAGCCATGATGGTCAGAACTGGTGGAACTAAGGAATGCAATTCATCTGAGAATTTTCCGTGGAAATGGCAATAGAGCAGTGATAGGCTTACAACATTTCATCTGTGGGAAATGGGTTGCTTTTGGACTCTATCAAAATCAAAAAGCAAAGATTGGGCATCTCCTGCACATATATGATAGCAGTACTCCATTTTCAGTCTGATCTGGCTCTTGTAAAGGATAATAGGAGTCAGGAATTTACTAGAGCAGTACAGGGAACTGACCATTTTTCCAGTATATTTAATGATGGATTTGTATATGTATGAGTTTCACTTGAGGTCTGGGTTGAGCTTAAGTCCGAAGAGGTGTTCAAAGCAAGGAGCCTCATTGAGGGAACACCAATTCATTACAATAGATGAAAATTTATGGCCCACTCGGTCATTAGTTTGATTTTTGTGACATTGAATGTGACCAACCAGTTTTGTCCCCCACTAAGCTGTTAGAATTTAGCTCAGAGAATTAGTTCAAGCAGTGATCATATCGATTTTTGGAGATGCATCCATATAGCGTTGTATCATTAGCAAAAGAGTGGAGTATACATGCAGTATTAACATATGTAGGGTATGCATTGTTTATCTCATGAGATAAAGCTAGCACTCTGTTTAATCAAAATTTAGTCGTATGTTTTCTGCTTATAAGCTAAATGGAAATACTCAACTGCCTTCAGTTAATCTCCGATCATAGCCTTCCTGCTGAGCAATATAACCCAGAGAAAGCAATGAGCATAGGGGGGGGGAATTAGTGGCTGCCAGGCATAGGGACCATTGTTTGAAGACTGATCGAAATAAAATGGTGATCGTATTTTCTACTAACAAATAAAAATGATAACAAAGTAAAAAACAAACAAAACCTATACTGATTTTACGATAGTTTAAAATTTGTGGAGATGGTTCTGGGAAAATGGTGAAAATAATTAATCTCGGGCCCTGCAAAATACCCATCGGCAGAACAGCCAACTTTATGTGCCAGGAATACAATTGAGACTGTCACTTCCATGTGGGCCTGTACAGCCATAACAAATGCTTCACCACCATCAATAGGTGATGCATAACTCATTGGGTGCAGATCAATTGTCTCTCAAGATTGATGAGATGCCACAAACTTGGCAACTGTATCCGGCAGCAAGTCCTCTGATCAGGAGTGTTAAACCACCTGTTAATTGCTGTTCCCAGGTCCACCCTAACCTGGGGTGGTAGCACCTGTTAGGGTCCCAGCTATGGGCTAATAGTGAACCCCTAAACAAAAATCAACAGTAGATTTTTTATAAAATGAGCAACAATAGATTTTATGATCTATAAAATATATATTTAAAAGAGATACTTTTACTCCTAATGCATAAAATTATATACAAAATACCTGTAGTTGAGAGCAGAAAATTATGTACAAAATTATTTAGATTTTGGTTTTAAATAACCCATAGAGGTGTTGATATGCCACTAAACAAAACCAACCAACCAACAATACCTATTTATAGTAAAATTACCAACAATACATTTTATCTGAAGTTGAAGCCATAAAATTGTGTTCAAAATATTTCCATTTCAGTATTAAATAACCCATAGAGGTGTTGATAGGCTACTAAACAAAGTCAGTCAACCAAAAACTTGGCTATTAACATATCTGGCAAAACCTGTGGAAATATAAATATAAATTTAAGAAGTTTTGAAAATAGATACAAATATGAGTCATTTTTAGAAAAGAAAACCAGTTACTATCGCTAGAGATAGGATCAATATTATCGCTGATATAACATAAGGTTTATTCATTATAAACCAGACAAAGTGGAAGTTGGGGGGTAAAAGGATAGATTCCCCACCCCTGGGAACTATAAATTATGAAGATTGTTGGCCATAACAAAGCAGAAATCCTGGCAGACTTAAGTATACAAGGTAACCAGGGCTCAAGATTAATTTCCTCATGAAGAAGACAGAACACTAGGTTTTGGGGACTAAGGCTGAGATGGAACAAACTTTTTAATTCAGACTCTAATATATTTATTTTAAAAACAACCCCTTTATAAAAAAAAAAAAAATGTCTTCCTACCAATGATAGTCATCTTAAACAAAGCAGACATTAAAGAAAGATTAATCTCTCCTTTTTAAAGTGAACAAAACCGAACAAAAACTGAAGGTAGAAAGATTAATTTAGATATCTGTAATATTTATCTGTCTATATTTCTGAGATGATGTATTGTAATTATTTACATTGTTCGAACTATTGTCCTCATCTCTATTGCCATATTCACAACGTTTCGGCCATTGTACGCTCCAGCCTTCTTCAGTTGATTGGAATTTTGAACTGAACACTTTATTTCGTCCACCGGGATAGATTGTTCTAGTTCCATGTGCCATGCCTCTTCCGGATGTCTCAGTTATCTCCCTTTAACCCAGCTGTAGCCAGGTATTGAACTCACAACTCTTTGGTTCAACCTCAAGTCACTCATCTCAGAAATATAGACAGATCCTGAAGAAGGCCAGAGTGTACAGCGACTGAAATGTTGTGAATATGGCAATAAAGATGAGGACAACAGTCTGAATGATGTAATTAGTTTCTATACCTCATCTCAGAAATATAAACTGATAATAAAAAAAAATTTAAAAACAATGAAAACATGAAAAGCATTCATCTGCGTGTTTCACTTGTATTTTTTGATTAGTAAAATCTTATTACAATGAAAACACACTGTTCATTGGTGTGACATAGCTCACTAGGGATTTTCATATTCATCTGATTTAGCCAAAAGGATTATCTGAAATAAAAGACAAAACAATTTTATAAAGAGAGTCTGTCTATATTTCTGAGATGAGGTATTATGTACAGTATTTACATTAGTCGGACTATTGTCCTCATCTTTGTCGCCATATTTGTCACAACGTTTCAATTCCTGGTTAAGGCAGTGGAGAACTTTCAGAGGGAAAATTAGCAGGAGATAACTGATAACTGACATCCATCAAACATGACACATGGAACTAGAACAGTTTACCCCAGTGATCGAAATAAAGGGTTCAGTTCGAAATTCCAACCACCTGAAGAAGGCCGGAGCGTACAATGGCCGAAACGTTGTGACAAATATGGCAACAAAGATGAGGACAATAGTCCGACTAATGTAAATACAATTTTATAAAGAGTTTTTTTTTTTATTATGTAACATGAACTGTTCTATTTCTGTAATCTTGTCAATAACCAAAATCATTTAAAGCTGACAGCATCTTTATCTGGTCCTGCTGCTTTCATTCGATTCTAGCTGACATGAAGGGGAAAGACTATATGGAATCCATTTTTAGATCAGTTGCTAAGAAATTTGGTTCACTCTATCATGCTAAACAATTTTTCTCTCCAGAATCTATTTTATATATCTATAAGTCTACCGTTCGTCCATGCTTTGAATATTGCTGCCATATATAACCTGGTGATATTTAGAGATTCTTCATAAAATCCAAAGAAGAATCAGCAATATTATTGGTCCTGACCTGGCATCTCGCCGTTAGTCTATTTCCCACCGTTGTTAAGTTGCCTCTCTGTGCCTTTTCTATCAATACTTTCATGGTAATTTTTCGGAAGAACTCTTCACTATGGTATCAAGACTTTATGAATTTAAGCACAGTACTCGATTGGCAGCAGGGTCTCATCAATTCACAACTTTTTTGGCTCAATGTGACCATAAGTTCTATGCTAACAGTTTATTTTCTTGCACTTCTCGCTTGTGGAACTCTCTTCCGGCTTCATGCTTTTCGGTCAACTTTGATCTTCAAAAATGTAAGCGCTTCCTGATTACACTTTTATTGTTCTCATTCCTGAATAATATTTCTGTTTTCTAATTCTTTCACACTCAGTAACCCCTTGTGTCTTAGTGGCTTTACTGCTTTGTATGGGGTGAATTTGATTAAAAGAAAATAATTGGCTAGTGCTGATTCAGATTTTAATATTTTCAGTTCTTCAATATTTTTGTATATTGCCAGTTGTTCTCTTTTGTCGTGGA